GAATGAACCGCGGGGCCAGGACGCAGCCGGCCCGGAGGCGGGAAAAGCCTCGGGGCGAGCGGGGCCCGGTCCCCGGAGAGGCCCACGAGAGTGCGGGGAGGGCTCCGGGCGGCCGGGAGGGGGCAGCGACAGCTGTGACCCTGCTCCACGCTCTCACCTTGAACATGTCGCTGGCAGCGGCGGCTCCGGCGGGGTCACCGGGGCCTTGGCCCCGCCCACTAGGGAGAGGTAGCTACGGCGGCCGGTTAGGGTCGAATTCCTCCGACCGCTAGTGGGCCGCGGTGCGGATGACGGCTGTACAGCCAATTTGATTCCGCTAAGGCTTAGCTCGGAAGTCTGGGCTGGAAGCGGTGTCGTTGAGCTGCCGCGCGTCGCGCCTCGGGCGGCAAGCGAACTCAAGCCCCGCCTTCCGGAGGCTCCGCCCCTGCGCCGGCTGTTGCTAGGCGGCAGGAAAGCGCCCGCTCAGTGTGGGCGGCACGCGGGGGCGCAAGGAGGGAGGGGCCGGGAGCCGCGCGGCGCTGGGAATCTGCCGTCACCGCCGCGATTGGGCGCCCAGCGGCGTAGGCTGGGAATCCTGTGTGCGGAGGCCGCCGGGCGGGGGCGCTCAGCAGGCCTCAGGCGGCCTCGAAAGCCTTGCAGCCGGAAGCCGCCGACCTCGAGGCCTGGATTTACCTCACAAAAGGTTTTCAGATTTTTTTTTTACCCTGGGCTGGACATTTCTAATATTTTAAATTTAACTAATTTGCTACTTCCTTTAGCCTCGAAAGACTCTTTTTTTTCTCTGTAAAATTCTTAAGCGTCTGTCCTTCACAGGGAATCAAATGTTTGTCCCTTAATATGACAATAATTATTAACAAGAATAACAAGCACCAACAGCTTTTACTATAGGCCCAGCTATGATCGAAATTCCTTACACATATTCACCTAACTCTTTCCGACATCCCAAGTAGGTGGACACGGTTATTATTCCCCCATCTAATAGATGAGGAAACTGAGGCACAAAGAGGTAATATGTACAAGGTCACACAGGAGGATATTGGGAAGCCGGGATCCAAACCTAGGTACTCTGCCTTTGAACTCTGTGATCTCACCTAGGGAACTGTTATAGTGTCCCATAATGGGAGGTATGTTTAAAATTTCATTCTGTATTTCCCCTTCTAACCCCATAGAAAGTATAAACCCATTCAGGTGGGCATCCAGAAGATTTTGGGGGTTTTAGTGGTGCTGTGTCACTGCTCTCCAGCCAAAGACCACTAGGAACACATCTGTAGTTGAACAAGTTGGTTTTATTTATTATTCTTGCCAAGAAAACGCACACCTTGGGAAACAGTGGGGCATCTCAGTAAGAGGGTGTTAGAAAGATTTGTTGTAGGGTTTGGGTTTTGGTTGGGTGATTTGGGGCAAGTTCAAGGGAGCTGGGCTTTGCTCTGGGCTAAGTGGTGTAAGCCAGGGTTAACACCAAAGCCCAGCTGTGAGTGCCAGGCCAGCTCCCAGATGTTAAGGGCTGCTTTTCTCCTTCTCAAGAGAATTGTATATTCCAAGCTATCCCCATCCGCATCCCTAAGGAGGAATATTGAGGGAACTCTGAAGGTTCTACATCAGTACTGGAATGTCATATTATATGAAAGTGTGATTTATAAATGATAAATTAGGGCAGAAACTTTTAATTCAGGGGGTACAAGAACTTGGGGAAAAATAGCAACTTTATTTTCACTAACCTCTAACTGAACTTTAGCATTCCTCTCAATTATAGTGTAGGTAACAAACCACAGTAGTATCAGCAGTACTTGTGACTTTGTCATCAATAGAAAGCACAGATATTTTCATATCATGCTACAGTCATGGCAGATTTCTTGAAATATTTCTGCTCATTACCACTTCATGAGACAATAGTTATTAGAGCTCTCATTTTATTTAATGCATAAAGAAGACACATTTCTGTAATTTTGTTTTTGAAAATATTTTGACAATGATCTCAATATAATTGGAGTCTTCTGCAATCCTGTATATTTTATGTTATGCATTAAAAAAATAGTTCTTAGAAGGAATCTGTCCATAGGGGTCCATGGCACTAAAAAAATAAATAAATAAGGAGGCCCTGATTTAGTACAAAACACTAAGCAGAAACTAAGAATTTGGGAGCAGCATCCAAATTGGAATAATGTGTCAAAGGGTGGAAAATCAGAGGTGGAATCAGATCACTCAGTACACATCCTCTCACTTTACCAGGAAGGGAACTGAGCTACTGAGAGGTTAAGGGACTTGCCCAAAATCTCACAGCTATTCCATGGTAAAACGGGTGAAAAGCATATAAAAAACCATCCTCTCTGTTAGGCATTAGGGATTCCATATTAGCACGATGCCTCCTGCCTTCAACAAGTGTGTTGGGGTGACAGCCAAGAAAACAAATTATGATGCAATATGAGAAGTACTATAAAAGAAAAACATGTACAGTATTATAGGACTTGGAGACAGTAGTGAGTAGTTCTGTAAAAAGGAAAAGGTGGAAAACTTCAGAGAAAAGGCATGAATTAGCTGGGATTTTGAAGGATGAATTGATGTTTGCTGGTGGTAGGGAAGTCAGTCCAGCTAAAGGAAATGGTATGATCAGCAACACAGAGTTGTAAAACACTGATTTTGGCAAGTTCTTGCTCTTACCATATAGAGAGGGATCCTGGTAGAAAGTTGATATTTTGAGATTTGAAAGAATGGATCTAGATTGTGAAAAGACTTGAATGCAATTCTGAGGAGTCTGGACTTTAGCTTGGAGAAAATAAGGTGTCCCTGAAAGATTTTAAGTTGAAGAGTGATAAAGTTGGATTATTGCTCTAAAAAGTTAACTCCAGCTGCAGTGTAGAGGATGAAGAGACTGGAGACAGGAAGACCAGTTAGAAGGCTAAGGGCAGATCCACTTGTCTTCCAATATACCGCATATTTTTAGTACACAAAAAATATACGCAACATTAAGAGATCCATTAAACCTTCCTTTTTAAGGGGTTCTGGGATTAGTGCAACAATCATATAGCACTTGAGTCTCATCCAAACAGTGTAATAATAAAGATTAAGACCTCAAATGTTTAATTTATGTACTTTCAGAGTACTTCATTGTAAGGAAAATGAGTCATTCTCTGAAGACATCAGTTACTGGTGTTCCAAAATCAGATAATCCGCGCTTGAAAAAAGGTGACAAAGTATATTTGTCAAATACTGTAAAGACAAAGGGAGAACAACAGTAAGTAACCACCTTGTGTCATTTTCCTGAACTGGACAGTTTTAGTGTGGTATTTGCCCAGCTAATATCAAACACTTACCAATTTACCAAACAAGGTAAATTAGAGGGGTTTTGTGTGTTTTAAAATTACTTTTGAATTGAATAATAATTATTATAATTATAGTATTTCATAATTGACAAAGCATGTTAACACACATCTCTTTGATCCTGACACAACCTGTCTTATTATTACATTTTGTAAGTGAGGAAGCAGCATCCAAGAGAAAGTAAGTGATTTGCAGGTTAAACAGCTAGTAAATGGCATCAGCTAGTATTCAAGGGTTTGTTTCTATATTTCAGGACTTTTCTACTCTACATCTTACAGTCTGCATTTTGCCAGCCAATGGTGGCATTATGCAGGAGTATCTACCTCTCTTTGTCTGTAGCCCTGTGAGGAGTAATGACAGGGTTGCGGGGGGTGGTTCCTGGAGAGTGAGTGGGATGTGATCAGAAGTAGAATAATGCTCTGACCTGACTGGGATGAGCCTGGTTCAAAGAAAGATCAGAGAAGGGAGTTTCTTTTTCTAGGGCATGGTCATCAGCTCCTGGAAGAGAATTGGGCTTACTGTAACTTCAACTATTCCACATTCTATTTTCATAGCACTTGAACTAGTTGGGCAGCATTTTAAAGAACTAACTATAATGGAATCATTTTAGGTCATGGACATTTTTAGAAAGCATGTTTGTCTCCTCACACTTTTTAATTTTATAAATATATATATATATGCCTTTCAAGGATAAAGTTTTGGCCAAGACTTTTTTTAATCTCAAGGGAAATATTCTCAAGTATTTCATATCCTCATTCTGACTGGATTCTGCAGATGACCAGTTCTAATTACCGCATCCAAATGTTCCTCATTAGGTCAGTCTTAGGGTGGGGGATGAGGAGGCACAGGAGGAGGAAGCATAAATGCAGAGTTCCCCCAAGATTTTAAGAAAATGAAAACTGCTTCACAGATCTTAACTTTTTTTCCTTCCTCTCAGAAATAAAGAGATTTCAGCCCACAGGATACAGAGAGCTTGGTTATCTCATCTGGACAAAACAGTGTTTCAACTCCTTAAGTACACAGTTTGTGCGGCGGTATGTATTTTGCTTTTCATTTCTTCTGAGAGGTTTAATTACTTACCAAGCTAAAACGTGTCTTAAGTAAAGGTAGAATATATAACCTTTTAAAATCTCTTCTATTTGAATCTAATAATATTGCATGGGGTTGTGGGATTTTTTCTTTGGTTAACCCTAAATGAATATTTCTGGATTTATCTTTAACATGGGTAACTATTATTTCCTTTTTCTGGAACCAATATGATTTTTAAAATTCGATTTCTTATTTGAAGATTTGAGACAATGATCTTGCAACAATAAAAAAATCTCTGAATTAAAAGTGCCTTTGCCTTCCACTCAGCAATTTCAATTCTAGAAATCCATTCTACAATATATGTACAATTTCATTGCACTGTTGTTTGTAAGAGCAAAGATTGTAAACCATATAAATCCGTCAGTAGGATACTGGTTAAATAAATGTTGGTGCTTTCATACCGTTAAATCTTGCAGCCTTGCATATGATTTAGCAATAGAAAGGTAGCTAAAATGTTTCATTAGTGAGAACGGCAAGTGCAGAACATTATGAACAATAGTTCTATTTGAGTAAAAACAAACAGGTGCATATCCCCCCACTCCCCAAAGAAAGAACTCTGGCGACCCTAGCAGAGTATTAAGCCTTCTTTCGAATAGAGTATCAAATATTCTCCTAATAAACTCACCGGTGATTACAGCAGTCAGCAGAACATTATGAACAATGTAGTTCTATTTGAGTGAAAACAAACAGGTGCATATCCCCCCACTCCCCAAAGAAAAAACTCTGGCGACCCTGGCAGAGTATTAAGCCTTCTTTCGTATAGTACCAAATATTCTCCTAATAAACTCACCAGTGATTACAGCAGTCTATAAATAGTAATAGTCACATTAAGAGAATTTTAGCAGCTCTGAAAAAAATCGTGAGCTCTCAGCAATGTGTACACTTCACCATCTGACCCACAGACCCATTTCTGATGTCAGTAAAAGCAAAATACCTCAGAGAAAACCCACCTAGGTAAACTCGTGACATTTCAGGTCCATTGTCTCTTATCTTCATATATGGAACTTATATTTAACTATCATAAGGCTGGTTTGTCATAATTTTAGACTCTTTTAGTAAAAAAAAGAAGGAAATTCTTTTTTTAATCTGTTACCCTAGCTCTTCAACTTACTACCTTACATTAATAATGCTTTGTCATTTTAAAAGCCCTTTGGTGTACATTTTTATGTGATTGTCACAGGCATAAAGGTTGAGCAGTGTTGTATAGGGAGAACGTTGGGGCTTTAGAATCAAACAGATCTAAGTTTGAATCCTGGCATCTCTGTTTACCACCTCTGTGCCTTTGGTTAAGTTACAGACACTCCCAGAGCCTCAGCTTACTCATTTGTAAAATGGGAATGATAATATTCAAATAATATTGCTGAGTTGTAAGGATTAAATGACGTTATGTATATAAGGCACCCAACATAGTGTGTGGTATATAAGAGGTACTTAAAATTTAGTAACATTTCTATTATCATCCTCATTTTACAGTGATTCACTCAACATCAGCTACTTTCCAAGTACCTGCTGTGTTCCAGGCACTGTACTAGGTGCTAGGAATACAATGGTAAAGAAGAAAGAGATAGCCCCTACCTTCATGAAGCTTACAGTCTAGCAAGAAACATACATTTATCGGTAGTTACAACACATTGTGAAAAGTGTTGTCATAGGGAAAGAACAGTGCCTGGGATCTCAAGGAGGGACACATACGCAAACATGAAAGCCAAAATGATGAAGTTATTAACTCAAGGCTACACAGATGATAAGTAGGGGAGCCAAGACTAGAACTCAGGTCTTCAGAACTTGAAGTTCAGTATACTTTTCACTTTACCATGCCCACTCTGTTATTTTCAATAAATTGTGTCTGAGTAGGGTACCACTTTCCATTTATAGCACCATCATCTATTTCAGGAATATCACGTGACACATGAAATTCTGAAGAAAGTAAGCCCCTTAGAGGCTGAGCTTGTTAAAGATCCTTGCATGAAGTGTAAAGTTAGATTCAGGTAATGTTTTTATGCTGATTTATTTCAAGAAGTACTGGTTAATTTGAAGAAATGTTAGAAATTTATTTTAAGTCCTCATAACTTTTCAGGGTATAATTACAAACTGAATGTGTTACTCTTATTTACAATTATTATGTGAAGAAGCTGAGGCATGACTCTTGGGCCAAAAGTTGCCTTGAGAGTGGCTCTCATCTCCCATAGTGTGTCTGACACATATATGAGAATAGTTGTGAGCACACATGCCAAAGTGTGGCTCTTTTATCCTCTGTGATCTGTTTCATTACTAGTTCTTTCTATGCTCTGGCATAGCCTTTACCCTGCATGCAAGAAACTATGTGAACGATCTTAAGTACAAGGGGAAGAAGTAACTGAGCCCCAAGCCTGGTGCCAAATAACTAATTTTTGGTCTCTATTTCAGATTTAGCGGTGAAACATTTCCACCTTTGATCGTGTTTAAAATTTTCCTTCATACTGAAGGCCATGGTTACAAGTATTTCAGCGGAAAAAATTTATTAAAGCCATCAAGTGAGGTAATGTTTCATGATGTACATTTTGTGTTAATCTATGTAGTATACGAATTGCATTCAAATTATACAGGCTAAGTTGTTTCATCATTCAATCACCTAGCAGGCAGGTAGTAGTTTTTAAGCATCATGTTTCAAATTGTCTCCGTTTAATAGCTAAAAAAATTTGAAATGAATTACTTATATAAGTCCCTAGAAAATACCCATCACTTTTCTTTGTATGAAAATTTGGGTTTGTTAATAATGAATTAAAGTGGCCCATTAGTCAGGGCTTTTTAATTCTGAACATTTGATGCAATTTTGTTTTAATGGCATTTTATCATTGTTTCTTGGATTCTGATAGCATATTTAGGAAAAGTGTACTACAGTATTGAAAATGAACTTTTAAAATACTAATCCTTTTTTGTGAGTTCTCATACTTTTAAGTTTCATGTAATTCTTCATAATTATGTCTACGACATAGCACTCACCTGAAGATCTTGTTAAAATGCAATTTCTGATTCAGTAGATCTGGGATGGGGCCTGAGATTCTGCATTTCCAACCAGCTCCCAGGTGCTGCCACTGCTGCTAATCCATTCACCACATTTTTAATAGCGAGGATCTGCAGCATAAGTTTTACTCCTGTGACCCTTACACATGACTCTAATAGAGTAAAAGATAATGTACATTCTCATATTTAGCCTTTTATAAACCATACCTCAAAGATTATTTTCCTGTAGCGTTCTGGAAATATTTTACATTAAAAGTATGACCCATATGAAATCATCAGTAATGACACATACTCAGGATAGAAGACCACACAGCCTGGCAGTTTCTGATCAGATCCAGCATGTGCAGCATTTATTCTCTGAAGAATATTAGAGAAGGAAAAGAAACTGCTTTTCTCTCTCTTCTCAGGAAATATCAGAAAAAATTTAACTCAGTTTCAGAAATGTATCAAAAGAACTAGTGGTTTCATGTGAAATATGGTGTTTCAGAAGCATTAATATTTATTTATATAGACAGACTTCAAATGTGAACGTAGGTATTTATTCTATATTCAAGAGATAAATTCATGCCAGATTTATCTAGAAAATAAGCTTATAGTTGTCCCTATAAAATGTCATCAATTGTTGCCTCTCTGAGATTATACAATAGAACTTTTTTAAGAACTGAAGTTTCCCAGAGGCCGTTCCTGGCGGCCCCTGCTATCCCCAGGCTGGAGCAAATAAAAACCTTAGAGACAGTGACTGGAAAGTACTGTGTGTATATCAAAATGCATTAAAGTGCTGTATGATAGCTTAAATGTTATTTTAACTACAAAGTAACTGTTGAAAAAAGGAAATAGCACAGAGTTTTTTTAAAGGAATATATGCCTTTATGCCTTTCTTCTCTGTGCTGCAACTTTCACTCACATGGTGTAATCACTGTTGATAATTTGCTGTGTAAACTTCATTTTTTCCATGAAAACACACAAATATATTTTTTTTAATTTTGTTATTTTTAAAATGTGATTATACTATTCAGCTTGAGTTTTTCACTAAACATTATAAGGGGTTTGCAATGATCAGAACATACCCAACTTGGAGAAAATAGTTTAGGGTTCCTTTTTCCCTTTATTTCAGCTTCAAAACAAACTCTGGCAAAACTTGGATTCATGGTTAATAGAAAACCTGTACAAGTGGAAATTTTCTCACTGTAAGCTCACTCAACTCCTCTGCTCTTTGAATGTAGACATTGTGTCTTTAGCAAACTGATATAACTTTCCTAAGTTTATTTATTTCTTAATATGAAAGAAATAAGTCAGTTTTAGACCAATCAGGTATTTAATCAAGTTCATTTATGAAGGAGAAGAGTTTCAGCAATTCTTTTTCAGTTGCTCCATCTTTCCCCTCGTTCTTATTTCCATTTCTGGTTTCATTTCCTTACCGCTTTCCAATAGCATTTCTTATATATTCACACACACACACACACACACACAAACAAAAAGCAAAAACAAGGGAAAGGATGTAGAATAGCCTAAAACAACTTTAGAGAAGAAGAACAAAATTAGACGATTTACACTACCTGATTTCAAGACTTTAAAAGTTACAGTAATCCCAGCAGTGAAGTGACGGCAAAAAGATAGATACGTAGATCAATGGGATAGAAAAGACAAGTCAGAAATAGACACACGCATAGAAGATCAATTGATTTTCATCAAAGGTGCAAAGCAGTTCAAATGGTGCTAGAACAGTTGGATAGCCATGTGTATAAAAAAGAGATCTCCTTTCAGTTACCTACTTCAATGGTCTATTTTCAGAGCAATACTTATTTACAGAGGGTTGTCACTATAGTTAGTCTACCAACTATATTTAGAATATTTTAAAGCTTGCTGCTCAAAGTGTAGTCTGCAGACCCACAGCACTGGCTTCCCCTGGAGCTTATTAGAAATGCAGGCTCTCAGACCCACCAAATCAGCACCTGAATTTTAACAAGACCCCCAGGTGATCCTAGGCACAATATGATTTGACAAACACTGTCCTAAAGGAGCTCAAACCCACTGTGGCCTGGACACCTCTGGGTAAATGACAATTCTTAAGCATTAACATCCAGCAACGATTATTTTAAATTGAAAAATCCTTGTTCTTTTTGAGGATTGGGCATTTATGTAAAAACCAAAAAATATATTATCATTAATAATAGCTGCCCTTATTGAGCACTATCAAGTATGATGTTAAACATTTTATGTGCATTATCATTTAATTCTCATAAACTCTAGAATGTAGATTCTGTTATTGTCTTCATTTTTGAAAGACTAAGTGTCTTGCTTAGGGTCTCACAACTACAAAGTGAAGGAACTGACACCAAGACCCAGTGAGCCTGACTCCAGAGCCCAGGCTCTTAACCACTCCTGAGTCAGGAACCCCACTAAGCATGTTCTCTTATATGGCCCCTGATAACTCGGATGAGGTACATGTTATCCCGTTTTGCCTAAAGGGGAACCTGGAACTTGGAGAGACTTGTCAGGTCCAGAACTGAGACTTGAACCCTTCTCCATCTTTCCACTGTACTGTGCACCTTTCAAGGTTGAAACAACACTAGCAGTTATGGTGGTTTTATTAATTCTGAGACTGATTGAACTGTACCGAACCAAGAAACCTTCCTGTGTGGGGATCCCAGCTATTACTACCTTTGTGAGTGAGAATTTCCAGCCAGGCAGGGAAGTGACTTGAGATATTAGAGTAACTTGACAAGCCCAAGTATAGATATACGCCAGCAAGTAGCTGCAGGGCTGTGGGGGCTTCTGGGCCACAGTGATGCCAGGTATCAAGGAAGGTGTCAAATTTAGAGATGCCCCCTTCTGACCCTTTGAGTCACCCACTAGGAATGGAACCTGCCTCTTGAATCCTTGTCTGATTGACTGCTCTCCTGGAATCCTTGCCTAGTTTCACCTTCCCTTTCTCCTGGTGCTGGGCTCTTCATTCCTATCCCGTCCTATCCAGAAGGACTTTCCTAAATCTGACCATACACAGCCGATGTCTGAGAAAGAACATCTTGGTCATTGGAGGACAAACTCTCTTTCAAACCCCTGTCACAAGTGGGCAACGAGCCTGCCCTGTGCTGCCAGGCATGGGGTTTTTTTGGCTGAGAGACTGGGGTGGGCCTGACACAGCTGAGCCACACAGCTGAGACACTGTACAAATAAGGAAACTGGGACTTGGAGACAATGGTGCCGATGGCTGAGTGGAGTAGAGTAGGGAGGAACTGGCAAGAAATACCTTTTCTAAGTAACTTGAGCTACAATAAAATATAGTTATATCTAAAGAAACTCTCAAGACAGAGATTATATAGTTTTCAGACCTTTCAGTGTATAACTATTTGCTTTTACCTTTAATGTCACTGTAGGGATGGTTAATTTGAACCCACAGGAAATTAATTGCAAGAACGCATAATGGAGATATGTGCCAATACTGCCCTTTCCATAGATGCATCATGTATAGAGAAACTAATGAAATGGAAAACAAAAATAATCTGCCTAAAAAAAGGTTCCATCACATTCTTAGGAAACTGTTTCTGTCCCTTCAATTTAGCACATTAGGAATAAAACTACAACCATTTGAATATTTTCTTTCGTTTTTCCATATGTGTCTGAGTTCTAAGTTTTGGAATTTAAATAAAGAAATAAGTAAGAAATACTCTGGATAACAAAAGTGAGGATCGGAGTAGAAAATACATTAAGGCTTGCTGTTGTACTGTGTATTAAAGAAAAAATAGAGATTCCGATTTTTAATCCTGTCTCAACTGCTGTTCTGTGGCCTTATATCAGCATTATAACACAGAGTTCCCATACTTTCACAGTATCACATTCTAAGATACAAAGAAAAAGAGAAACTGATCTGGAATCAAACAATACTTGAATTTTCATTTATGCCAGGTCTCCCTTCACATGAGCATACCCTTTGTGGCCAAAAGCACAAACATATAATATAAATATGTATTAGAAAACTCAGCACATACTGATGTGGGGTGGGGAGGAGGATGGGGAGCTCTTAAGTCTGTACTCACAGTCTGTGTATAGCTCTTAGCACAAGGGTAGATACATGTGGAAGGGTATGGTGCAAATAGGGCCAGACACGATTTGAGACTCCGTATTTTCTGTGATTCTTCTGTCTCTGCCCTCTCACGTGCTTTTCTTGAGTGCAAAATGTTGACATTTCGGAGAGAAAAGAAAAAACCCTTTGCTACTCTTTTGCTACTGAGCATGAAGCTTGAAGGAGAGGGAGGTCTAAGCACTCTGAAACAGACATGTTTCCGTTTGGGGGCGATGTATTAACTACCACATAAAAGAGAGCTGGCCCCAGTACCACCTTTCAGTGCGGTTCCTAGGGCAACCTGCTTAATAACCGATAAGTTTTCTCTGCATTGACAGCATGAATGATGTTATAGGTTTGTTTGGTTTTTTTTTAAGGAAAATAATGTTTTTCAAAGAGGGAAAAACAGATTTTTTTTAAAAAACTATGGTCCTCTGAGGATTATAGATTCAACTACTCCTCTAGCTGCATTTTCTTTGTAAATACAGTCTTTTTATTGAATAGCAAACTGCTAGAAGAAAGGAACAGTATTTGATGTATTTGTCACAAAAAAATGTAAAGTGTGTGCTGATAGTTATTACTGTTATACTACTATTTTAAAAGTATTTTCTATTCTCTTTATAGGCGGTGGTTGATGCTTGCAAAATGATGGGGGAAAAGAAATTTTATCATCAAATTATGGAAGATGAACATCTTTTCCAGAAGTTCAAAATAACTGATAAAATAGATATTGTCACTCTGAAAGATTATGTGCAAGTAAGGAATTTAGATTTATATACTGAAAACAAAGAACAAAATAAGCCATCTGATCCTATCCTCTAAGAATAAAGAATCATCCATTATCTTATTGTGGTAAAATACACACAATATAAAATTTACCCATTTTAAAGTGTACAATTCAGCGGAGCTAAGTACATTCCCAGTGTTGTGCAAACATCACTACCATGTAGTTTTAGAACCTTTTTGTCACCCAAAAGGAAACCTTACATCCATTAAGCAGGTACCTCCCATTCCTCCATCACTCCAGCCTCTATCAACCACTAATCTGCTGTCTTTTGGAATTGGCCTATTCTGGATTTCATATTAATGGAATCATATAATATGTGGCTTTTTGTGTCTGGGGAGTGATAGCTAAGGAATGTAGGGTTTCTTTTTGGGGTGATGGCAGTGTTTTGGAATTAGTAGTGATATATACTTTGAATTTACTAAAAACCACTGAATTTTACACTTTGAAATGGTTAAAATGGTAAACTTTATATTATGTGAATTTTATCTCAATAAAAACATCAGAAAAAAATAAATACATGGTGCTAAGAGTGCATGACGGGAATTTGACCTAGTGAGGAAAGGTTCTATTGTTGTTTGGAAGCTTTCTGCTACAAGTAATGGAATATCCCAATTCACAAGAGACTTAAACAATAAAGGACATTTGTTGTTCCATATAAGAAGTCCCTGGACAGGTGTGTCCTGGGCTAGCTAATGCCACAGCTCAAGGACATCAGGGTCCTGGGTCAGCTTCTCTACAGTTCTCGTGGCTTCCTTCACACAGTAACAAGATGAGTATCACATTCTCAACTACATTAAAAGGCAGGAAGAAGGGGATTCCCAGCATCTTTTTGCTTGTCTCAGGAAGAAATCTTTCCCAGAAGCCCTCAACAGACTTCCCCACAGGTACCATTGGTCAGAAGTGGATCACATGCTCCCCATAAACCAATTAGTGATAAAGGGAAAGGAGATCATTTTCCACAATTGAGTTAGAACGTTCATGGTTCATGTGCTGGGGACCTCCTTCCTGGATCATATGTCAGTTCCATACCTGAAAAAAAAAAAGATCAGGGCTCCGTAAGTAAGAGAGAAGTGAGAAATGGTTGATAGGCAGGCAAGCAATAATATATCACAGCCTCAGTCTGGGGCTCAGCAGGTGGTGCACCCCAGGACTCTGTGGCAGGAGGGAGGAGCTGCACATCCTGAAAGCAAATTTGTGGACCTGGAGAAGAGAGAGCACAGAAGGTGTGGTATGCAGTCAGGCTGGAGGGCTGGTAGGAGATCATCATGCAGGGCTTTCGACCATAGTAAGGTGTTTGCTTTTTGCCTTAATTCTGTGCCCAGTGAAAAGCTGGTGCAGTGTTTCAGGAAATGAGGTGATATAATCTAATAAGTGAAGAGATCCGCCTGGCTGCAATGTAGAGAACAGACTAGAGACAGCAGAAGCGTTCTCCTAGTTGAGAGGTTCCTACAGATTTTAGGAGAGATGGTGGTATCTTGGTTTAGGGCTGGCTGGAGATGCAAGAGATAATTAGAGAATAAAAGCAGTGGGCCTTGAAGACAGGGAGGTAAGCCGAAAGAAGGTGTCCAACATGGCTCCTAGGTTTCTGGTTTGCGTTAACAGGTCGGACAGCAGTGCTGAATCAGGGAACTTAAACTAGATACCTGAATAATAACAATAGCAAATGCTGTGTAATGCCAACTCCCTTTATTATCATGACAACCCTAAGAAGTAGGTACTATTATTATCCTGTTTTATTTTAGAAGTTCTAAAGAAACAAGTGATCCCAAAATTCTAGCTCATAGTAATGATAATATATGGCCTTAACTGTTCACTCAGTTGCTTCCTTGTGAAACATGAAATTAAATGCAGTGCTTTAGAGATTCCCAATTCTGTTTTCTTTCTTTGAGAGCCTTAACCTGGAAGAATATGGAAGTGAACCAGGAAATAAGTAGAGTTTGGGGATGCCAACTATCTTTGCTAAGGACATGGGTCTCATACTTGCAGACTGTGACTCTGCCAAGCATTGGTGTCATAGAAAGAAGTCCCCAGATTGACAAATTGGAAGAGAGGGATATAATGATTGCTGACATTCATTGAGCCCTTTATGGACAGACACAGCATTGTTTTTAGCTCTTTATATGCATATTATCTGCTTTAATCTTCAAGTTTGTAAATTATGTGACCCTTTAACAGATTAGAAAAATGGAGTTTAATGAGATTTTTAAAAACTTGCCCAAGGTCATATATAGCCAATAAATACAGAGCCGATCATTGACAGTTCTGAGATGTTTACCCATTTTACCACTCCATTCTCTGGAAATAAAATATATGGGAGTCCTCACTTTGCATAGTAGTTCAGGGCCATAAAAATGACTACACAAGCTGTAAACCATGCAGAGCAAACTCAGTCATCAATGGGAAAAATTGTAATTGTTTCCTGCCTTTCAAAAATCTTGTCAGAACATTAAAAACTCTTACTGTGTTATAAATATATAGGAAAATGGAAAAAAGCAAAACATGTATTTAGTACACTATAATTTAAAATAGAAACATTGAGAATTAAAATGTTTTACTTCTCTGTAAAAAGCTTATTAACCTCTTTGTAAAAAGCTTATCAATCATACTAAAAACTATTTAATTTTACACTCTACATTTTATTGAGATGTGAATCTCAATAAATCTGTTTAAAAATAAAAACCTAAAACCCAGTTTATCAAGAGTAATTTAAACAGCGCTTGCCTTCTTGTTCTTCTCATATAACTAGCAATAAGGAGTGAACATCTTCTTTATGCCCTGGCAAATTGCCATACTTCTTTCTCACCTTGGATCACCTACCAACATTTTGTCCTTTGCACTTTAAGTGTTGTGGAATATCTTGGGGGATAGGTATAGCTCAGTGGTAAGAGTGCATGCTCAGCATGTATGAAGTCATGGGTTTAGTCCCCAGTACCTCCTCTAAGAATAAATAAATAAATCTAATTGCCTCCCCCTAAAATAAATAAATTAAATTGAACTAATTGTACTAAAATAAAATAAATGTTCTAAATTTTTTTTAATAAATTAATGTTGTGGAATATCTCAGAGCTTCTTTAATATGAAGTGTCTTTTTTGCCAGCATTACTTCCTCTGAGAAAACTTCATCCTTTTCATCACAGCCATTTTCCTCATTTATGTTGCTAGATTCACTTTCACCAAGTTCCTCTAGCAGCCTACCTGCAGTCTCTTGAATGATGATAGTGTCAGGATCCCCATGGTCACCTGTTTCTTCTAGAACTCCAATTAACAGTCTGTGAATTTCATTTCCAGTCTTACCACTTTGTTTCTTTGTTGGACTTTTCCCCTCTTTGATTATCTTTATCTATAAAATGTCACATGGGTTTATCACTGGGAGACGAAGAGGCAACACAGTTACATACTTTGCTGTCTGTGTGTGAACTAAATAGCAGATCCACAGTGACCAGTCACTGACACACTCTGAAAGAAGTGACATGATTTGTCATTTACCACCGTGCATATCTGTTATTTATGTACTAATCAATGGACTGAAAAGCTAGCAGCAGAGTTTGTACTTTATGCAATTACTCAGTAATACTGTGATAACTGAAATTTGAACCATGGTGTTGAAGGACTGAGTTCATTTGACTAAATGGTGGTAATTGAAATTCGTGCATACCTAAATGATACAAAAGGAAGACTGCCTGTATTTGTTTAGGTGCAAGAGAGTGTGTGTGTATGGAGGGGTGGGTAATACCCTAAATGTGTAGCTATTATTCCATTTCCTAGCATTGTAGCTCCTCCTGCCCTATTTCTATCTCTTAAGTGAACATTGATAAGGTTGATTGATTACATGTATTTACATTTTTAATTCCTAATTTGATATTTTAAATTTTAAAAAGAGAAAAGTGCGATTTCTATAAATACTTGAAATGAAAATAGTGAAATTTGCCACTTTGCGCCAGAGATGAGCTAATTATTTCTAAAAAGGTTTGTGCAACTGTCTTCCCAATGCAAGCATGTCACAAACAAACATTGGCAGATACGTAGATCACATAGCTATTTTCAGTTTTTAGACTCATCCTGAATTTAGTTTATCTAAGTTATATTTACCTTAAAGGTTTAATGTTTATGTATTAAATAAATATTAAGTGCATTAAATAAATAAAATTATACATTAAATAAATAGTAATGTTTATGCATTAGATATATATTTAGTGAGTGTGACATTATGTACATGATACTGTATGAAAAGGATCCTCCCTTCCAGTAGGGGAGCTGAGAGATACACAGAGAGCTAAAACATCAAGTAGTCAGAAATAAGAGTCACAGAAGAGGAATTCCAGTAAAGTTCAGAGATGGGATCAAGGAATGCTGTTTGGACAAAGTAACATTTGAGTGGAACCTTGGGAAATGTGTCTACAAACATTCTAAAGCACTACAGCTAATCATGCTTACTTATTTTTTCCATATAGTATTCCAGTCTTCTGGATGAGACCCCTGCATCTTCTGGTGGCAGAAATAACTATTGGCGAAGGTTAAACCTCGAAAGCATTCCCAGGACAATGATAATGTATGACATAGTTGATTATGCAGAGACTGGAATAATCTCAAAACGTCTTAAAAAAGAAATGAAGTATCTGTTACAAAGACCAAAAACAGAAGAGATGCGTCAGCACCAGCTACGAATTGTTTCTGAAGTTAGGTAAAGTTGATCCTTCACTGGGGTTGCAATACTAGGGGCACTTCTGGAAATGGTCACATTCTGCCAAATAGCTCACAAAAGGTAATAACAGCACTTGGGAAAAATAAGGTTGGGGCAGATTGCTCAAAAGTTATGCAACTTTGTAAACAGAGCACTAACAAAAAGGACAGTTGGTACCCGGGGAGATAACTTGTATCACTAGGCAGTCTGCCCCAGAAAATATTTTTAAAAAGTACAATAGAGTGGAAATACTGGCCACTCTTTAATTAGAGCAGGTAGTGGGCACCGAGGCAGCGCAGATGGAAGTGGAGACCTGGGCCAATGTGGTGGCCTTTTAAGTGGGCATGAGAGGCAATGTGACCTGCCAAGAACCATGAACCACCCAAAGCAAGGAGTAGGGTGGAGGGCAGTAAGATTGTGCTTGTTGGCAGTGGGGGGGGGGGGCTCTCTGGGGAGAGAGTCCTAGGTGCTGGAGTTAATTCTTGTTTTCATAAATGTAGCCAAAAGGGCCCCTGTTGCCCATGCTGCACAGAGCAAGACTTTTTCCTTTTCTGCTGAAGGTTATAATTCTTCTCTTGCTATTCTGGCTCCCCTTGCCGAGGGTAAATTGCATATAAATTACAGTGACATTATTCCCTTCTTTACCAATAATATATGAGCCAGTTCACATTATAGAAAAGTATGTTGTAGCAAAATAGACTGTATTATGATCTGGAACAACATGGACAGAATATGACTGCACCAATTATATTCCTTTTTTCTTTCCATTACCAAGTCTTACCTAGCCTATCTTATTTACAAATTGAGCCTTTTTTCTTAAAAAGAGATAATCAGACGGAAGAGGACCTATTGATAGTCTATTTTCACACAGTCGTATTTGGAATGAAAAATACTCCTTTAGTACATGAAATGACACTGGTGACGCACTGTCAGGCAAACACACTGGGCTTTTTTCAGAAGTAGAAATGAGTGGGTGCTGACCCAATAACATAATTTAGCCCATTTATTTTATAATCAAAGCTATACATTTACCAGACAGATGGCCTGGTATAGGGCTCAGTCTGTCATCATGAAATAGATTTCCTCTATCTCATCCGTATAAGCACTGAATATGGAACTTAACCCTATTACCACCAAGGTTGAATAAATGGTGTAATTTTCTCTGTCACCATATATAACTGTAGGCTCCCTGCTCTGATTATCCAAGAATGAGTCATTTAAAGAGGCAAATAAGTAGCCAAATTCTATATCAATTGAAGAGGGAAAAAGTACTTTCTTAAAGGCTTCTTTGAATGAAGTCTTAGTTTAGGATCTCCCAGAAGCAAACTCTGAGATAAGGATTTGAGTATGAGTAGCTTATTTGGGAGGTGATCCCAGGAACCACCAGGATCTCATCAGTGGGGTAGAGAAATGAAACAGGAAAGGGCAGGCAGCCAAAACAGTGTATGTTAACAAGCAGGTTATCCCTGTGGGTAACTGAAACTTAATTCCTCCTGGGAACGCCCTAGCCAGTGTAGAACATACAATTCAAGTTATCCCGCAGCGGGCAAGGGAGTTAAGATATTAATACACCAGCACCCATTAGTCATTGGTTAAGGGTAGCTCAGGAGGGGAGGTATTAATTCTGAGGCACTTTCCCTGCATGTGGGCTCTTGTTTTCATAAGAAAACTCTCCGCCTAATTGAGGCCAATGCTGACAGTTAGAAGTTGGGCCTTCGTGTCCTGCATTGGTATGGCCAAGGGGATTATGAGCACGGCACCAACTGTGTCTGGTCCCAACACATAAAAACAGCTTGTTGCAGCCATTATGCAACGTAATCCTTTTTGATGTTAATATACGGTTATATATAAAGATTCAAATGGCTACTACATGGTGTTTTCTAAGAAAACTGATTTTACATTGATACCATGTCTTATAATTTTCATCATCATCATCATAAACATCACCTATCTATACACCTTCATATGTGGCAGATAAAGAACCATGCTATGTAATAGGCAGAAATGATAACTTTGACCTAAAAACTTACATGCAGTATTGCTCTAAGCACTGAGGTTTATGACGTATTTGCTAGAGGATGCTTTAATAAAATTTGGAACTTGCTTTACATTTAAATTGTATTACTTTATGGAATTTTTCTGTCTATACTACAAATATTTTCTAGGTGCCCCTCATCCTTCTCAAGTCTTCAACCTCTATATCGACGCTACCAGCAACAAAGTCAAATTAAACATCTGGGTCGTCGATCCAAGCAAGCTCAAATGAAAGTTGAAAAAATGAGAAAAGCTTATAAGATGGCTGAAGAGAAAAATGTTTCTGCAGAAAATGTAAGTTTAACTTGTATTTTTTTGGACAATGTTCAAACTGTAAGTAATTCTACTTTCATAAGTAGAATTTTCCTAATCTACAAGTTCAAGGATGAAATACATACATTTGGTATATACCCTGGGTAGTATAAAGCTACGTTCCTCTTGGTAACACATATTTTAAAAATTCTTAAACAATATGAGTAGCTATTCTGGTAAATAACGGCCATTTTGGCTCCACATCAGCATGAGTTGGCAAAAAACCCTATTTCTATATGTTGACATTGTTGATTCAGCACATCTCTAATGGTGCTTTTCTCAAAATGGAAGTCATTTCTATCTACACTTATTAAGAACTATATACAGTGGAAAATCTGCTTCAGTATACTGCATTGCAGGAATATTTGCAATGAACATGTATTCATATTTTACTTTGTAATTTTTTAAAAATCTGCTATAAAATATTTTGAGATGAGGCTAAGTATAAACAGTCAAATATAAAAACATAAAATAGTGAAAAATAAAATATAAAACACTTTCCACTTTTATTTATAATTCTACCTAGGAGCTGCAAATGGACTCATCAGGTACAAAGCAAAAACAGACAATCGTTTTATCCACCCCCTCTTTTGACATTGTGAAAGTTAATGAACTCGTGTCAAATGATGAATTGGAAAAAGAGGAAAAGGAATTATTTGCCTGGTGTCAAGACTTGTGTATTAATAGTTCTCCATCATGTTAATGCACAGCTAATTGACAGAAAATCAAGTTATTCAACAATCTGCTTGTCTGTCTATAAATGATGAGTATGTGCATTCAAGGAAAACGAAATATAAACAAGCCCTTGGTATGCTCTCTTAACCAAAAGTGTGGCAGATTTTTAAGCCCTTTTGTATTACCATAGGTACAAATATTTCTTGCTGACAGAATTTTAACCTAAATAAATTATTTCAACTAGATGCACTCAGTCTAGCTGTATATGGTTTTGTTCAAGAAATGATGAGTATTTAATCCCTGTACCTTTTATTCAATTTCGATTTTCCTTCATTTAAAAAAATATTTGAGCAGGCTATGCTTCGCATAAATATTAGAATTCACAGAATAAAAGGCTGCTCTTGAGTCAGCCTCCAGTATCTTTTTTTTAGTAGCATGTGGTTTTTATAGAACAGCTTGTGATTGACCTACTCTGAATTATAATAAAAATAATAATGAATTTGTTGCTACAGCAGGCATGACATGGCATACCTAATCATTATTGAGCATTGTGAGCACCTGGGGCAGAATGTTGAGGGAGGGTACAGCTCAGTGGTAGAGCGCGTGCTTAGCATGCACCAGATCCTGGGTTCAATCCCTAGTTCCTCCATTGAAAATAAATAAATAAATAAACCTAATTACCTCCCACTACCAAAAAAATGTTGTGCTTTGTATTTTTTTTAAAATATAAAGACTGTTTTGAGTAATATTTATCAATTTCCTTTTGAATTGATAAATTCTCATTCCTGATATAATACAAATTATTGATTTTTTGTGATCCAGGCTATTAGATTATATCAAATCTTCCCTGAGGCTGTGATAATTAAACAAAGTGCATTATTTATTGCATTTTAAAAATACAGTTTTTGATTTTGTTTAACATTTAAAATGTGGAGGTTTATTCCTGATTTAAATTGTGCAAAGTAGCCTATAAATGGATTCCATCCTTTCCTAAAACATTCTCTTAAATGATAAAGAATATTGGAATAAATATGTATGTTCCCCACTGGAATATATTCAACATACATGTGTACTCTTCAATATTAATATGTCCTCATTTGATTTCCAAAAATAGGATGGATAATCCTGTTGTTTTCAGAGCTTGTACTGGCACCGGTTGAATAGAAAACACATATTTGTCCTCATGAGTCACACAGATTCTCATTTATTAAACTGGAAAGCAGTCCCTCATCCAGTCAAATGCATATCAGATTCAGTACCCCCATGTAACAGGCAATAACAAAGCTAAAGGAAGATTTCAGGTAACAAGATGAAGGAAAAGGTCAAAGGAGGACAGACTCTTTACGTTTAAGGGCACCCACTTCTCATATTTCACTGGCTAAGACTTTGTCCCATCATAATGCTTAGCTAGAAGGGAGGCAGGGAAATGTACTCTTGTTTTGGGCAGTTATGTACCCAACTAAAATTCTATTGTTAGAAAAGAAAGGGGTAATGGATATTAAGGCATAACTAGCATCAGCTGCCAGACAGAGAGCCTGTCTTCTATTGATTCTTTTAACTCACATTAAACAATGTAACCACATCACAGAAAATCCTTTTAAAAGTAAAATTACATATAATCTCATCACTATAACAACTGTCTTCAATAGTTCATACCTTTCTAATTTGCACACTTATTTTGTCTAAATGCACAAATATATTCCCATGGTTGTAATCATAAGTAACATATAGATTTTAAATTTTCACTTAATATTATATTTTAAACATAGTCTTTTTTTAAACAAGTAATTTTTAATGTCCACATGATACCCCATTGGGTTGATAAGGCATAATTTACTTGACCATACCCATATCATTGGATATTTCGGTGATTTGAATTTTTCACTATTATAGGTAATTAACGCTAGAGTGAACATCATCATACACGGTCTTCTTTATTTTGGTTATCTTTCTGGTATTTATTTTAACCTAATTGTACTGTAATCAGAGAACATGATTTGTATGATATTGATTCTGGGAAACTTGTTGAGACTGGCTTTATAGCTAAGTATATGGTCAGTTTTCATGAATCTTTCTTGTACTCTTCAGAAAAATGTGCATTCCCTGTAGTTAGATACATGTCCTTTCGATCAAGCTTGTTAATTGTATTATTATTTCCTATACTATGCTGCTCATTTTTAGTCTGTGCAACATCAATTCCTGAGAAAGATATATGTTACATCCTACAATGGTAGTGGACTTGTTGATTTCTTCTTGTAATTGTCAATATTCGGTTTATGTTATTTGAAGATATCATTAGGCACCTTATTTTAGAAACTGCATCTCTTACTGGTGAATTGAATCTGTTATCGTTATATGGTTACTATCTTTATTCCTAACAATATATTTTTCTTTGAAGACCATTTTGTCCATTATGAACACAGCTACTCTAGCTTTCTTCTGGTTAGTGTCTGCCTGGCATACCCTTTTCCATCTTTTCTTATTTTCAACATTTGTGTGTGTCAGAGACTGGCTAGATGCTCACTAATTCCATTTCCTCTTCCTGGCAACACAAGACTGCATTTCCAAGCTCTTTTTACAGTTATAGTTGTGGAAGTGATGTATAGCCCTTCTGTGCTTGGCCCCTTAAATGTCATACGTGGTTTTCAATGCACTCTTTCCCCTGCTCACGTGGCTCGCGGCAAAAAAACTCCAAAATGGTAGAACTAAGATTGAAAGACCCCAGATTCCTATGTCACTGATTGAAGGAACAACAGCCAAAGCAGCACTCTGACTTGATGAACTCTGATGTGAGCAAGAAATAAACCTAATTGTTGTGTTAAGCCTCAGAGATCATAGGGATGGTTTGTTATAGCAGCTAACATTAATTATTCTGATATACCATGTCTTCTTTGTGTTTTAGGTTTTCTCTAGGATAACAGCAAATATCTGGATTGTTTTGTTTTGTTTTAATCCAGTCTGAGGATAGCTTTCTTTTAACTGGTGAGTTTGGAAACTTTACACTTTATTGTGATTTTAATTAATTGTTGATATGTGAAATTATCTTTACCATTTTATTTTGTGCTATCTGTCTTGATTTTTTGTCTTCCCCTCCTGTCTTCTTTTCTTTCAGATTTTTCTTTTGATTGTACATTTTCCCCTCTATTATTTTGAGAGTTATAACTCTATTTTTATTCTTAGTAATTACTCTTAAAGTTTAGCAATGTGTCCTTAAAATCTAAATCAATAGCCCCACCTCCCTTCCCAAACTATCCAAGGGCCTTAGAATGCTAATCATCATCCTGTTGTCTTTAAAGTTATTGTTATCCAATTTTTTTTAGCACCATCTTGTTTTTAACCTCCAAATTAGACATTATCGTTGTTTTTATAAATCTCAGACTTTTTTTTCTGGGATTATTTTTTTTTATCCTGATGAATACGCTTGAAAACTTCTTTAATGAACATCTTTTGGTGATAGCTCAGTTTTTGGTTTTCTGAAAATGTCCTCCTTTCACTCTTACTCTTAAACACATAATTTCAGTAGATGTCGTATTCTACATTGACAGTAATTTGGTTTTCTCTCAGCAATCTGAAGTTGTTCCACTGTTACTGCCTGTCTAATTGTTGTTCCTTTTAGATGCTCTCTCTTTTCTGTCTCGAAACTTTAAAGATTTTCTTTTTATACTGTGTGCTCTTTAGTTATACTGAAGAAGATTGAGTCTCCCGCATTCCTTCTCTTTTATCTACATTTTGTCTCACCTTACTGTCTGTTGAGAGTCTGGCTTTATGTGGAGGTCTCAATTCCAACCTTATCTGAGCCCAAGATCTTGTCTCCCACATACATGAGGTTATGAAAACCTGAGACTTTAGGTTCCTGGGAGTGATACATGTACTCAGGGTCATCAGTCACTTCCCATGCTAGTTTATAGCTCCCTCTTTATTTTTCACTCCTAAGGATTTTCCTTCTTACAAGCTCAGCTATAGCTTTTAAAAGGTTTTTTTGTTTTTTTTGTATTTTATCTAGGGTTTGTAGGTTTTTGTAGTGGGATGGTTTTTCAGAATATTTAGTCTACCATTCACCATAAGTGAAAGTCCACAGTGTCACTTCATTCTGTTAAATTATATCCTTAGGATAAAATGTTGAGAGTTGTACTACTTATGCATCAGAGATGTTAAACATTTTTATAGTTTTTCATATGCATTGTCAGATTGCTTTCCAGCCATTCACTTTTTGAGTGGTGAGTACTATATCGATGTTTGCTTATCCACTCCATGGAGGCAGAGTAGTATCATAGAGTGTGGATTTAAATCAACGAAATCTGATTCTGTCTCTCCCTACCCCATGTCTCTCTCTATCCCTCCATTATTCACATATACAGAGATTAGAGAAACTCTTTCTCTAAAAAGTTTTGTTGTGGTTTGAGATGCAAGAGAATTAAGAAAGAAGACATTATTTAAGAAGGAGAGAATGAAAATGCTGGCTTGAGTATTTATTTTAGTCTCTGTTACCCCCTCAAACCCCACTAAAACAATGGTAAAGAGACTTTTTTAAAAGGCATAAACCTTCAATGATAAAGAGAGATCAGAGAAGATCAGAGAAAACAGTGGCAAAATTTTGTCAGTTGGAAAACTTATGAGTGGTAGTTGACTTAGCATATCTGAGAAAACTGTCTTAAACTGGCTAAGGAAAGCTAAGAAGCCAAGCAGTTTACACCATGAGACACCCCACCCCCACCCCGAAGTCTCAGGAATTGGCAGCAGCAAACAGGCTATTTTTGAAAGTAAGGGGTGAAGTGAAGGAGAAGAAATTGTCTGAAAATCTGTTTAAGAAGCAATTAAAACACAAAATCCCTTTCCCACTGTTATGAGTTGAATTGTGTCCTGTCCTCTTCCCCAGAAAATGTATGTTGAAGTCCTAACCCCCAGTACTTCAGAATGTGACCTTATTTGGAAATAAAGTTGTTGTAGATGTAATTACTTAAGATGAGGTCATACTAGAGTAGGGTGGGCCCCTAATCCAATAGGACTGGTGTCTTTATAAGAAAGATAGAATCACTTAAAATAATTGAAATGGTTACCTCTAAGAA